GACCTCGGCGGGGGACACTAAGCAGCTTGCATTCACTATGAAATGCACGACGGAGGAAGGCAGTGTGCTGCACAATCGCTCGAAGGACGCAACCGACAACTCCACTGCAACTGATCCGCTCGGCGCGCCAGGCGTGTGTGAGTTCCAGCCACCCACTCCAGGAGGAGCTGAAGAAACGCCTGAACGCCAAACTCAGGAGCAGCCACCAACAGGCCAAGAAGCAGGAAGAACACTGGAGGCGCCTGCGGCTCCGTCAACACCGTCGGTGGCGGACAGGGCAGCAGATAGACCCGGAGGTACACAAACACCTTCAACCCCCCGAGGCCGATCTGGCACCCCCAACGCCGCCCCTTCCGCCGGCGGCAGCGATGCAACCACCACCACAGCGGCGACCACCCCCAGTCCGAGTGCTGGGAGCCACGCAAAAAGCAACGCGGACAGCAGCGCCATCAACACTCTGCTTGTGCGTGCCCCATTGATGTTGCTGCTCACGGCTGCCCTTGCCTGCGCTGCTGCGTAAGTGGTGAGGGGCAAAAGATACTCGCTCACACCCTGACAGGGACGACGCGTGCGCTTTGTGCGCCCAGTTTGCTTGTCGTCCCTGTGGGTCAATCCTCCTCTCCCTCCTGTGCTCTGAGGGATGCTTTCTTTTATTTATTGCTTCGCCGCCCCATGCACGTTCCCGCGGGCGGCGCACCCTTTTCCCCCTCTTGTTTGCTGCCGCCACCCACTCACACCCACACACACGCGGTGCCGGCCGCATTGCTGTGCGCCGCACGGATTTTGACGCAACTGAACTTTTGAAGTGCCGGCCGAACGCCGCATGAAATGGGCGAGGGATGTGTGGGCTCCTGCAGCATGGGCGATGTCTTTTCTTCTTGCAGGTGTTAAAATATACATGCATCTCTCACAGTCCTCTTGTGCTGCTGGACACGTGAGGTGAAGGAACACCACCTGCCGAAGTAATTTCTTTTATATATTTTTCTTTTGGGGGTCCTGCGGGGATTACTCACATCTCTTTTCCGTCTTTTCTTTTCTTTTGTGCCTGGGCGATGCCCACCGTTGCCGTGTGGGCCCCAGCGCCGCTGCCGCCACTGCCGTGTGGGGTAGTGGCGTTCTTAAATCCCTCTTCTGCCGGTGTGCCGAGACGCCTCTGCGTTGCCTTCCTTTTTTTCTCTGCCACTTCTCCTCCCGCACACACGCAGAAAGAAAAGAGACCAAACGCTGCTCGTTGCCGCTGTGCGCTTTGAAGGCTTCGAAGTCGCAGCAACACGCACAACCGTCACGGCCTGGGCGGATCCACCGCAAGAAGGGAAGGAAGAGAGTGAGCGGCAGCGGCCCAACATGCCCCGGCGCCTGTTCTCTTCTGCGCTGCCGCTCCTCCTCTTTTTCATATGCTGCGGCAGTGAGTCTGTGCAGGCTGATGGGCCTGTCGCAGCGACGGCCATCGATCCCTTTGCAGGGACAACACTGGTATCCGGTGCCAAGTGGGAGGAAATTAAACCCACTGAGGGGTCAGTCTGCTCGCTGCGCGACCCCAGCCTCGTGGAGGTGGGCGGCGAGGTGTTTGCCGTTGCTGCGGCCCAGTGCAGGAAGGAAGGTGCCGGCGACGGCGGCGGCTTTGCCGGGATTGCGTCGAAGCACCTCAAGAAAAGTGAAGATTATTCCTTGGAGGTCTCGGCGGCGGACGCAAGTTCATTTGGCGCACAGCTGCTAAAGAAGGGCGCGGAGGCGACGGACGTAATGCAACCGACAACAGTTGTGCACGGCAGAAATGTCTACATGCTGCTGGGAAACTACAGCCGTGCATCGTCTGCAAGTCAAGTTTCCGGAAAAACTGGCTGGAATCTTTTGCTGGTGAAGGGAACTGTCACTGGAGACGGTGAGGCGATGAAAATCCAATGGAGTGAGACCCATGCGGTGCAGCCTGAAGCCCACGCAAGTCTCAACTCCCTGACGCGGCTGGCTGGCGGCGGAGGCTCGGGCCTTGTGCTGAGTGACGGCACGCTTGTGTTCCCCATGCAGGCCACGGACAAGACGGCTGGGACGAGTGTTCTGCTGGTCATGCGCTTTACTGCGTCAGAGAAGAAATGGACGCTTTCGTACGATACGACCGGCGCGAGCTGCAGCGACCCATCCGTCGTGGAGTGGGAAAAAAACAAGTCCTCGCGATGGCTCCCTGTGCGGGCGGCTACTATGAGGTGCACGCGACCTCTTGGGGAGCGAGAAACTGGTTTGATGTGGGAGAGCCGATTTCCCGCGTGTGGGGCACC